AGAAGAAGGAGAAGAAGAAGAAGAAGAAGAAGAGGAGGAAGAAGAAGGAGGAGAAGAAGAAGAAACTGACTTAGGATACAGATACTTAAAACATGTACCAGTTTGTGCTAGAATTTTCTAATTTTCATTATTATCAAAACGTAGCTACCGCCATACTAAAGTCTCCTGTTTTAGTCCAGTAATATTGAAAATCAGTTGAATGAGCAACTGGAAGAGTACAATTCAATGTCAAGCCATTTCAATGTAAAGACACGTCGTAACGTAAACAACGTGCTGTAAGTCAGTATACCAATTAGAGAAAATGAATCGAATATTTCTCATTCATAGTACAAAAACCACTCTAAGTTTAGTTTTCGGGCCCTCCTTTCAGTATACCGTGCTGAGAGGCGGGCTGTCGGGCGTTAGTCGAAAAGAAGGCAGAAAAAAACTCTACAATTAAGTGAGACCATCACCTGTAACTGCTCGCAAAGGAAAATACGTGCGATATCATTTATGTTACTTCATGCAAACAATGTCGAGTTCCCATTGACAATGAAATGGGGAAAAACTGACATTCGTCGGCAAAAACAACACTTTTTAAAACTTTTTAGTAAAACTGAATTTGGGTTTTAAAATGGTTTTCAGGATATGATGTACTTTCTAGTAAACGAATGTTTATCATACGAAATTTTTCGTCAAAATTCAGAGCGTTAAGTAAATTTCGTAAACGCATACAGTATTGGTGTACACTAATTGTCTAAGTATGCAAATCTACATCGTCTTTTGAAGGCATTAAAAATTAAACTTTCATCAACCAGCTCATCATTCATTAGCACAGTTTTATAAGCTATGGCTTAGGAATGGCTGAATTAGAGCAATAAAGGTGTTTAAGTCGATTCGACTATTCGGTACCTAGGAATAATTCTCCGATGGTAAAAATTGGGGTACGTTTAACGGCTCTAGTGGCGAATCATATAAGCTATCTTATATCCCTGATAAACATAACTCAAGCCCTATAATCAGTTAACCATATACAGAAATTCCTTCATATTCTTGTAAAAAAATATACCAACATTTTTTCTTTTCTTAATGACAGTGAATTCGAACGAAATTAAAACTAATCGCAAAAAAAATATATTCAAGCTAAAAAAGCGTTTTATAAAACTGTGTCAAAGAAAGTTTGAGTCTTAGATTTGCTTTAAGGTATGTCATATATTTACTTAAAAAAAACTTTGCTATAATGTTTTTTGGTTCTATTTTTTGCATGGTATAAATGATGATTTTCATAACTTCGCTTACCTCGTACTAAATTGCTTGATATACCAAAGTTAGACAGAATATTTAAGAGTCACTGATGTGTAGTACGCCAAAGTTAGTGAAGAAATTCTTTTAGTATTGTGTCTGATGACGATCTTCTTTTGTTAACTTGACTAACATCTGTCTTCAAAAGAAAGAAAAAATTAACGGGACGATTGGTTGGTGGTTGCCATAGTGACTTCATGGCTGACGAGGAGATATTTTTAGAACCACTGCTAAATATGCATATTAGTATAGGAAATCGCACGATCTCGAGGTACCCCCCTCGGGTTTCCACGGCTTGGTTAATCAGTCACATAGACGTAGAAATCAATTTTAAATTGTGAATATATTGAATTTTAAATTAGTGAACTCCTGTCCTAGCCCACTCCGCGGCCATCTCCTTCGGCTGTTTTTGCTCCTTGGGCTTCCTGTGGCGAGGACAAAAAATTCGAAGGGGGAAGGGAGAGAGAAAGAAGAAGAGTTGCTACTCCTAACGCTTTTTCTCTCACTTCCTAGTCCCCACTCCTCCTTCCTCTCTCGTTTCTCGTTCCTAGTTCTTCTCTAGCTGCTATAACATTCAACACAGGGATCCCAACGGGGAATATATGGGGTAGCCTACGGAGAAAGCTAAACCTGTTCCTCTTCTGGAATAATCCTTGACTGATGCAAATAAGGCCCTTGATCATTTGTCCATACGATTCAACAGCTTTCTCTCTTAATCAGGTACGTTATTCCATTGCCGGCTGCCGTTTGGCAACTCCAAGTCACACGTATTATTACAGGTAGCCCAAGCTAGGTTTCTGTCACGGTACCGTACCATATCATACGAAAAATCATTCGCCCTGTGGTTAGAGTTTGAATTAAGCCAGTCAGTTTTAAACCGGATTTCTCCTCCATCGTTAAGAATGAAGATATTCTCCCTCTAGCCTGACACAGGGAGAAAGAGGTACTAATTTGCACTCATAATATTTTTTTAAAAACTGAACTCAAGCTCATTCGATTTCTTATACGAAAATTTACGAAACGAAGTTGTCAATAAAGAAAAATTGTCATCACCTAGGAAAAAACTACAAAAGGAAAATAAGTTTTCACAAATACTTACCAGTTACCTTTAGCTGGCAAAAGAAACGTAGATCACTTTATGCAAAAAAACATTGTCCACCGGGCCATCTCCGCAATGCTGCTAAAATAAGGAAGTTACTGTGCTGTTAATTAAAACTGCTGAAGCTCTGACTCATGCTTTTGTTACGTCCAAGCCATTGATCAATGTAATTGCCTTAAGTCTTCCAAATCATCTCATTTCCAAACTCAAATAAACTGCGCAAAATGCAGCTGCTCGTCTAATTACCACAAACCGTATTCCCGGATCGAATTTAAGATTCTACTCATTTAATACTCGGCCTACGGTTTACTATATATTATGTATATAGTTTCTCGTTTTCTTCGACGTACACCCCTAGCTACGTTATATTTTTATCTGCGCCCGTGGGAGAGTCAGGGGTAAACGTATTGGGTTATATGCTAGTCGAAAATTTTCAAAATACCCATACGCCTAAGAGACACCGAAAATCCTTTTAAAATTAAGGGCGTCGTTGGACGATTTTTTACCCCTAAGAGAAACCCTAAAAGATAACAAGAAATGCCGAAATTCTAGATTTCAATTTTAACACCCTAAAAGATTCGCTGATTTTTAGCCCTAAGAGATACGACGAGAAAACCCGATGCTTTTACACCGGAGTAATCGAATGTTCGATTGTGTTCGACTGACTTCTGAATCGATCCTAAATTACAATCGAATGTAATCGAATGTTCGATTGGTCCGAGTGGCTCCCGACAATTTTTTCTTTTTTTTTTTTTTTGTGAGTTCGCTATTCATTTCGGATTCAATGTAATCGATCGCTCGTGCGGGGGAAAAAATGACGTGAGCTTTTTAGATAGTCTCCAGTCCATTAATGGTTAGTTCGAACAAGTAGAGCTCAAAAGAACCAAGAGATCAAATAGCCTATCTCCAACCTACGGATAGGCCAAATGAACGAATACAAACCGGATGTTAAAATTTATCAAATTGAGCTGATCGTATAGGAAATCGGCGCACGATCTCGAGTACAATTCGGAATTTACAGGTACGTGGTGATGTTTTGGATTTCAAAATGGACGAACCTAGTACGAGAAGATTGTGCGATTTTTTTAATAATACACTCAAAAAAAATTGAGTAACTTAATTGGATTTGGAATTTAAAAATTGGGACTCTCAATTAAGCTGCTCAATTTTTTTGAGCGTATTATAAACAAAAAATCGCACAATCTTCTCGTACTAGGCTGTTCAATTTTGAAAATTGTACTCCTCTCATCCAATATAAATCGAGTAATTTTGTTGAGTGTAATATAGGGTTTGTTTTCGCGTTGTAATCAGTACTTTTCGCGCTACGAGTGATTTATCAATAGGCTGATTAAGATTCCCGTTTTTTCTTCCCGCAAACGGCAAACGTGATCACGTTTTCATCGTTTCCCTACATTTCACTTAACCTTTTGCAAGAACCTTCTCGACACGAAGATTCTCGTTTACGGCAAACGTGAAACGTCAGTTGACCGTTGAAAAAATTCTTTTCTTTGTCGGGAAGGTTTTTGCAAAAGGTAAAGTGAAATGTAGGGAAACGATGAAAACGTGGTCACGTTTGCCGTTTGCGGAAAGGAAAAACGGATCCTAGAGAAAAACGTTTGCGCATGCGTTCATTTCAGCACGTTTTTTATTTATTTATTAATTTATTTGTTTTGTCATATATTAAACTGGAAATATGATAACTGAAAAAAATACTGTGATATATATGACAGGGTGACCACAACAGCGTTAAGGATACACGGAACACAATCGGGTCGGGTTTTTTGAACGCTCATAGCGCGTTTAGTTTATATAAATTTCCCCATAAAGTATACATTTTCTAACAGCTTAAAGTTCAAATATTGCATATTCGATTTTACTTTTGGACAAAAATAATTCATTTTGGATAAATCGGGCATTGATTGCAAACGCTATGGTTCGACGCGAGATGTTTGTTCTCCCTCTGGTTAGCGTAAACGGATCAATTTTTTTTGCATCTTATTACACGTATGTTGTTCTACCAAAGTGTGTCTGCGTTTTTTCTTTTAGCGCTTCTTTAATCTTTTATTCAATTCCAAAGTTATAACTACATATTTTTAAGGGCATTCTTGAGAAAATGGCAAATATCTGACAAAAGAAAAGGAAAATGAAAAAACGCAGACACATTTTTAAACTCGAGCATAGTAGGAATCCACATGCCAAGTTTCACGGTAATTAATTGATCAAAAACCGAGGGAGAATAAACCTTCTGAAAATGTGTATTTTACCAAAAAACTACTTTTGAGAAAAACACAAGTTTAGTTTCATGGGATTATAAGTTTATTTACTCAATGTTGACAAGTTTCTGCACAGTACGCCAATGAGCGTAAAAAAAATTAACTTAATTTTTATATAAAATTAAAGATTTTACTTTTATATTTGATATAGCATGGTTTAACAAAAAAAAAAAAAAAAAAAAAAAAAAAAAAAAAAAAAAAAAAAAAAAAAAATTGGCGAAAATTGTGTTCCGTGTATCCTTAAGCCAATTACTGCGGGCCCAAAATGATGTCTTAAATGAAACTTAGTGCATAAAGATAATTTAAGTAGATATATTGGCACATTTGAATCAAATAACTAACAACAGGAGGTAGCAAGAAACTTCAATGGAGTAATCTTTAAGGATTTAATAATCACTGGTTATTTTTTTTCCTTTATATTCCAATGGGAAGTATTAAATTTTTACAAATTTCTATAGGTGTCTGTGCAGTTATATACTCAACACTAATGCATCGCTCCATTGATTTCTTTGTAAATAGCTCCCGCATGTTTTACTTCATTTCTATTAAGCCCAAAGATCCGCTGAGGGACTTAACGTACATAACTTGTGTTTAGAATCATTTTATGGTACCTTTTATTCAATACTGAGTATAAAACTAGAAGATATTTTGATTACAAAATACAAAGAAATGTATGGAGCGATGTTTAGTATTGAGTGTATGACGTCACATACTCCTTTAGAAATTTGCAAAAATATAATACTTGCTATCCAAATATCAAGAAAAACTTTAACCAATGACTATTAAACCTTTAAGGGTTATCCCAGTAAATTCGGACGATTTTCGTGCTAGTCCCCCTTGAAGAGTTCGAGTGAGAAAATAAATGTTTGTTTTCTCCAAGTATACAAAAAAGCTCGAGAGTATACTTTTGTCAGACCAAGATACTGTATTAACAAACACAATATCAAAGAATTAACCTTGAGTTTCAAGCATGGATACTAAGCTTTGGCATTTTGTGAAGTCCAATTTATCAGGCATGTTTGAAAGTCAAATTTACAGGTGACTTGATTATTTTGCAAAAGGATTCAGAGCGCGCATGCACAGACGTTTTTCACTCTTGTCGGAAAAACGGGAATCTCATAGACCACATTAGAAACTCAGCCAATCAGAGCGCAGAATTTGATAGACTATAACTATGCGCCCTAGCTCAAATAATATAGTTTTCTTAATAATATTTCTTACACAGGAAATAGTCTTAAAAGAAGGAGAAATAAAAGGCTAGTGATCCATCCCACTAATAGCTAATGGAATATATTAATAGTAGATGAGTGGCCTCTTGTGTTTACTTGACCCAAAAACGTGTCTTGGAGACACGTGTTACATAACAAATAGCCATATCCGGCAACGTGACTAGTACTTCACGTGAACCTCTGAAATAATTGTCAATACCGGCTGAAAGAATGTTTGCAGCAAGAGTAGGAGACTTCGTTTATCAATATTATGAGGTTATTAACCCTCGGTACTGTTAGAAAACGAGGTTAAAATCTTAATTCTCGTAAAGGAAATCAAAAATGGACGGTCAAGAAGAAGAGATGGCGAGTGACAAGAAAAACGAAGACTCCCAGCTGACCGAAACTAAGAGAGTCAGTCGGAACATGAACGAAAAGAAACGGAGAGACCGCTTCAATCTCTTGATCAACGAGCTTGCTGCTGTTATTTCACCTGGAAACCGAAATGGTAAATTTGAGAAAGTCACTGTCTTGAAAGAAGCGATTGATTGTTTGAGAAGTCAAAAGACGTCCCAATCTAGTCATCCGAGCATCACTCAAAGCAACTGGCAAACTTCACTGGTTGGTGGTTCTGAACTAAGCCAGCTAATCGTAGAAGCCATGAACGGATTTGTTTTAAGCCTAGACTCTTCAGGAATCATAACTTTTGTATCTGATTCAATTCTATCAGCCGTTGGTCATCGGTCCACCGAAATGATTGATAATTCTATTGCTGAATTTTTGGACCAAAGCGACCGGTCTTCTATATTTGTTCATTTAAGTTTGCTTCAACGCGAAGGTGAAGCCTTCCCACCTCCAGCATTGAATTTTACATCTAAATCGAAAGCTTTCGGCAAAGCACTTGCCTTCCAAATGCACTTGCTGTACGGTCCACACATCGATAAGAAAGGTTATGTTACAGTGAACTGCCGTTGCCAAGCTTTTGCTATGTCACACACCACCAGCTTTCAACCTGTCACGCTACCCCATGGAAGCTCTCAAAACGCCAAACTCCAGCTTGTTATAGTTGGTACGTTACGACTTCCCAAGCCAAATATGATGGTGCCATTAGCAGATATCAAAGCTAAAGAATTCACATCTAAGTTGACATTAGGTTGGAAATATACCCAGGTAGACCCCAAAGCCTTACTTATAGTTGGGTATTTGCCAACAGAATTGATTGACAAGTCTGCATATTTATTCATTCATGAAGAAGACATATCCAACATAACATCATATCATGAAATGTTGGTTCGCAAGGGTAGGGTTACTACATGCTACTATCGATTCCTGACGAAGGGCCAAACTTGGGTGTGGCTGCGAAGTTGTTGCTATGTGTCTTACAATCAGTGGAATTCTAAACCAGAATATGTCACATCGACCACTACTGCCGTTAGCTATGAAGAGGTTTGTGCCAATCAGGAAAACCTCTTGAAGGAAGACAAATTAAAATTCCAAAATGTTTTCAAGAAGAGCAGAAATATTAATAATTCCACGAAAACTTCTTCAAGTCAAGGAATCACTTCAACATCTACAAAGCCTCAGAAATTTTCTCAAGAGCAAAATTCCAAGAACCTGCCATGTTCTAACTCCTTGGGAAATTCTAAGTTAGATACTGACAGGTCCAAAACAGCTGAAAACCTGCCAGAAATAGATATTTTAAAGCCTAATATTGTCGCAAGAATGCAGTCCAAAGAGTTAGTTGCGGAACCAATTGATGAAGATTTAAGCATGGATATAGAGTCTATTGCCAGTGAATCCAGTGATCTTAGCTTGAGTACAATGAAAGCCCCAGAAGGGCTTACACCAGCCCAGTCGAAGCTCCATGTTCAACTCCGAGGGAAACACAGGTTACTAGAAAAATCCATCAAGCATCAGATTGATGAGTTGGAGAGAATTAAGAAACAAATCGAGATCAACAAACAACTTTGGGAGTTTAATAAACAATTGCAAGAAAAGAAAAGTGGAGAAATAGATAAAGGGGTAGAGGGATTGCTTACATCTCCAGCAAAAAGAGGGCTGGAAAGCGAGGGCTTATCAGGTATGGATAATATCAACGAATCCGTCAAGAGATCCCTCGTACAGACAAGTAGTATGCCATATTGCCCAGTGGAAATTCCAGTCAGTTACTATGTAGATATACCACCGATAAACCTCGGTAATCCACCCGATTTCTGTGATATGGAACAAATGGACCCATCAGCAATGGACACTAATGCCTTTACCCCTTTCTCTAACAGTATGCCTTCTAATAGTACCCAAGCTTCTTATTCTTATTTTCCCTTCCAGCCTCAAGGTAGATAATGCAGATCCATTATTTTAGGAATGCTATTTCCCAGATTAATAACAAACCATTATTTTATAGTCTATTTCATGGGAGGTGGGGGATTAAACAGCTTTTATCAATTTATTTTGATCAAATTTTGGGAGTAGATTCAAATTTCGATAGCAAATTCATTGGGCTAGTAGTCGTGACCTAGGATAGCATATACTATACTATAATTCAATGTTCAAGGATTGCATGCATGACCTCATTCTAAATGCATAAAGTAATGAAAATCAAAGCGGATGTTAAAAAAAAAAGCAAAATCCATGTTGAAATATTTCAATAAAATTGCCATTTTTCAATATTTAGTAGTTCCAAAAATTATCCATACCCCCACCCCCCACCCCCCCACAAGGAATTTTTTCCAGACCCCCATCTACCCCTAGAAATTTTGATTTTCTTTTCTCTTACCCCCTACCCCTTCGCAAATTCCAAATTCCTCCATGGGGGGAGGGGGGTATGGATAGTTTCCGGAACTACACATTAGAACATGATATACATTGAATAAGTTGAACGAACCTAGCTAAGCTAACAAATTAATTTAGCTTTTTAAAAATTAGTAGATTACAAGGTCATGAGTTCAAATCCCATTTGAAACTCAGTTTTTTTCTGAGTTCTTTCTCTTTCACCATTCATTCTATTCATTCATTAGACAGTAGCAATTAAATGTAATGAATTAACAAAAAAATAGAAATAAATTAATCAAAATTATGACTATAAAATCATTGGTGTGCTGTAGATACTTCTGAACCTGATCCTTCAAAATAATTTCCTGTAAAAAATTACCGGACCAGAAATGACATGTTTAGAAAGCCATCCGCTACCACAGCAATCTTACATTAATTTTAATCTTTCCACAGTGTGTGGTATAGACATCAAGTATGATGACGTTTTATACCTACACTTGACTTTTTTTGTTATGCTAATTTTCACTATTGTCTCAGTATTCTCAAAGGAGTTTTAACTTTAATTTTGAATATGAAAAGATATTTTGTAAAGGATTAGGGTAGTTTAGGTATGAAATGTGATTAGGACGGCTTTGCGGGGAATGTTTGCTGCTTATAGCATTGATTTCAGTGAAGTTTGCATTAGAGCGCATCCAGTAAAACCATGAAATAATAACAAAGTTGATACTGACAAACAGTAGTTAATTAGTGACTAATAGTTGCTATCACTCTAACCAAAACATTCATCACATGAAGACAAATACATAAGAGACCATTTGTGTCTTTTGAGTGGTATCAACTATTGATGGTTTTCACGGCGGCCATGTTGGAGGAACTTAACAAAAGAGTTGTCAATTAATTCTTTTGTTATATCCTCCAACATGGCCGCTGTGTCTTTTGTTATTTAATTCTCTTGGGAATGGTTGAAAACCATCAATTAGTCCCTAAATAGACCAAATGCAAAACTCGCACCGATGTGAGGCTTAAGTTGTGAACAAAGGAATCTGGCGTGATTCAAAAGTCACGAACCATGCCAGATCCCTTTGTTCACAACTTAAGGTTCACATCAGTGCAAGTTTTGCATTTGGTCTATAGCTACCATTTGTCACTATATAAACTTTGTTTTTATTCCATGGTTTTACTACATGTGCTCTAAAATAGGGTTAGTTAATTATTTTGTTTGGCTAGGCATATGATAGTTTTTCTTAATTGCAGGGCTGTCAACCCCCAAGATATTCAAATCTGGAGAATTGAAAGAGAAGGGACATGACGTCACAGCGGAAAAAAGCGTGCGTGAGGCGTCATTCACTTTGTAACATTTGATGTGATTGGTTTATTTCTGACCAATCAGACTATCGCTCATATTACAATGGCCTGTTTGCAAGAACAGTTTATGAGGAATGTTTTGATTTTGTTAGCGATGTAAAAAAAACACAAACAACACAAAATATTATGTAATGTTATGGTTATAATGAAAGTCAAGTCTCACAAGAAATGGTCAGCTTTGGGATTATCCTGGACATTTGAGACTCTAATCTGGAGACCGGGAGACACGGTCCAAAATCTGGAAACTCCTGGTATATCCGGGAGAGTTGACAGCCCTGTAATTGTTTTTGTCTGGAAATTAAACTATTATTAATTGATCAGCATGTACCAATGAAAACAGTGGTATTTAGGAAAAGAAATTCTTTATATTCCAGAAAATCCCAGTAAACTACTTTGTCAATATTGAAAGCTTTATTCAAGATTTTGTTTCAAACAGTATGTCTCAAAAGCTACCTCACTACTTTCCATAAATCAGTTCACTTGTCATAAAAGAAGTAATCAAATCAGGCTGCTAAGTACAACTTTTCTAAATCCTTTGAAACTTCTTAGCAGCCGTGATCGTGTCCTTGGTGATTGACCAGCTAGAATGTGAAAAATGGTAAGCAATAATGAGACTAGGCATATACATTTATTAAGTTGTTTTTGTAAATTGGCTTAAAAGATTTGTATACAATGTAAACACACCAATACTGCTACTGATACTAAGATTATGGTAATCCAATCAGCAATGATTCACCAGGCTAACACTGGCTGTTGTGTGCTGTGAACTTAAGAGTATTGTTATTTATATGCACCCTTCTTAAAATAACCTTGAATGTGAAGCTAGCATGGAAATAAGCCAGTTCATGGTTTAAGAATCGTTTTCAGTGTGCATGCAATTTCATCCTGCATTTCACACCTTGTTTTGTTTTAACCTTCTTTTGTTCTTAGTTAAACAAAATAAGGTGAGAAATTCGGGATAAAATCACATGCGCAGTGATTCTTAAACGATGAGCTGGCTTGTAGTGCAAAAGAAATTTCATTGTGAAAAGTGTGATTTCTTTAAATTTTATATGTATTTACAAGAATAGAAAGATGTCTCTAAAAAAGGTTTTCAAAATAAAACGTTTTTGACTGTGAAAGTCATCTTCAGTATGATGTTAGTTTGAATATACAACAATTTAAGTAGTTAAGAATTATGAAAAATTAAATTTTATATTTTCATGTTAGCTTTGCATCCACTATACTTTCAAGAAAGATCCATTGCGAGTTTATATCGAATACAATGTACACACACTAATAAATTATGCTAATTCAATCAGCAGAATGAATTACCTGCCTACAATAACAGGCAAACCCACTGGCTATAATATGCTACCAACCACAGGTAGCCCAAGCTTGGTTTCTGTGGGGTCCTGTTATAAGGAAATGTATGGAGATTCATCAAAAATTTCAATAAAATCATTGAAACGTGAAATAAAGCCTTGAAATTTTACCCATCATTGAGAAATAGCACTTCTTTCACTCTGCGTGGCTATTTTTTGAATTTAGCCTGTTTTAAGATTTTTCCCCCCGCCACTAAGACTGGTGAGGGGGTAAATTCAAAAAACGGGCTAAATTCAAAAAATAACCACGCAGTTTAAAAGAGGTGCTATTTCTCAATGATCGGGTAAAATGTCGAGGCCTTATTTCACGTTTCAATGATTTTATTGAAATTTTTGATGAATCTCCATACATTTCCTTATAGCAGGACACCACAGAAACCAAGCTTGGGCTACCTGTGTACCAACTAAAGAGTATTGTTATTTCTACTGCTGGTTTAATATCAATCAGCTAAATGAATCTCATTCCAAAAAATGAAAGCAAACCACATACAGAGTGGAGTAGGAATACTCAGTCTAGAATTACAACATCAGCTTATATAATGCTGAAAAAAATCAAGTCCTGCCATAGGCAGCCCAACCAATGTATTTGTGCTGTGTATGATAGCATTGACAGTGAATGGGACGAAAAAATATGGAAATGTTTCCAAATAAATTTGAACATATATTGCTACTGTGTTGTTAATGGTATTTAACATCATTCTGAGTAGTTTTTAGCTGGTGATTATGTTATGACATTAACTTATAAGATGGCAACTCAAATTCTATAAATGACATGGAAAAAATATGGAAATGTTTCCAAATAAATTTGAACATATATTGCTACTGTGTTGTTAATGGTATTTAACATCATTCTGAGTAGTTTTTAGCTGGTGYTTATTATATGACATTAACACATAAGATGGAAACTCAAATTCTATAAACGACATAATACACATGAAGTGAAATTGATATACAATCATATATTATAACGTGTGAATACATCTTGGATTGACCTTTTCTGGAATAGCAAAAATGGTGCATTGTGGGCTAGCTTGGGTACAAACATCTTTTTTCATCATTGATGCCTTATATGGTGTTGTTCGTACCAAAGCTAGACCATGATGCATCCAGTTTATTGAACTCAATAAAAGCCTTTCAAAAGCAGTCTGGCAAATGGTGAAGTAAAAAGCACAGGCAGCCCAAGCATTGGTACAGTCCTATCTATATGAATGCTGCATACAAAACTAAGAACAGAGGATATACATGTAGTATCTGAATGGAAACAACAGATTGATTTTACTCCATGCTTAATGGGAACAATGTTCGCTTGTTTGCGAATGTTTCCTTACAGTTTAGCCACCTTTGGGAACAAATAACAAAACATGTTTTCTCGTTTACTCAGGCTTAACGACACACTGGTACATGTACTGTAGTATCCATATAGATAGGACAGGACAATCATTTGAGCTGAGTGTGAAGAACAGTATGTAATACGAGATACTAAAGGTGTGAAAGGTTGAATCAAGCAAAGCTTCCTTGCTCTCGAATCTTGCAAATCAATATTATAGCAAAAATCATGGCAATGATCTGAAAAGAATAAATAAATAAATAAATAATTGATATTATCAGGCCTTTAAGATAGCTGTATGCCTAATAAATAATAATAAAATCATCACCATCCACCACCAAATCATCATTATCACCGTCAACATTGTGTGGTTCCAGAAAATATCCGCACCTCACCATGGAGGAAATTGGAAATTCCAGAGGGTGGGTGGGGGGACCTTTTTTCTAAGTTCCTCCATGGTGGGGTATGGAACCTGACACATTTCATCATCAACATTTCTATGATCATTATCATCATCACCATCAACATTTCACCACCATCATCACTATTACCACTATCATTATTATCACCATCACCATTATCACCATTACCACCATCATTATCATTATCATTATCACTATCATCATCATCACAACCATCATTATCACAATTACCACCATCATTATCCCCATCACCATCATCACCACCATCATTATCATCATCATCATCACCACCATCATTATCATCATCACCATCATCCTCACCATACCATCATCACCATTTACCACCAACATTTCACCATCAACATTTCCATCATCACCATCATCATCATCATTGCATAACCATTACATACACAAGGATTCATACCTGTATAACAGCCACTCCAATCCCCAATCCAAAAATCAACATCAAATTGTCCTTTACCAGGGTCTCGACCTTGCCATAGCATCCCTAACAAGTCATGAAAGAATAAATCATTATATCAGTTAATAAGTCCTCAATCAATTTATAGCAAGTCTTTCCACTTGCAGCTTGCAGCCTGTCTCAGTAAGACTTAGACAAACCTAGATGACACAGGCAATTTTTCACAGGGAGTAACCAACATGTACTCAGCTTCTTGAATGGCATGTGAGTGAAATGGCGCACTGTCTCTGAGTGCTAAGTATTTCAAGCCTTGGGTCTCAAGGTTAGATATTTAACTAGTTTGTTTGATTTGATGTTCTCTTCTTGTCACAAGTTTTTTCTCTGGGTACTCCAGTTCCCCCCCCC